TATACTTAAATATTCTTTTTGGTAAGAGTGAGACTTGTTGTTTGATACAAAGTGGGCTGTAATAATGTTTCACATTGTTTGAATAAACAAATACATTTATTAATATATGAGGTTCTATTCAGTTCAAGGAATTAAATTTTAGTGTGGCTACAACGTACTCCTTAAGTTAAAAATCTTGCTGTATATTGTAGTTTATATGTTATACTACTTTCACAGTGAATCGCATTTTATAGTAATGCACTCTGAATGAGGATTTAAGTAATTACTCTTAGATCTACACAACAGAAATCCAGATGGTGTAATAGTATAATCTCAGTAACATCACCAATTGTTACATTTGCTGTATTTTACAGCTGTTTCCATGAGTACGGTGAGTTACCGTAAAAATAATGTAATCTCATGGAATTTTCCCACAATTACATGCAAATTACAGTACTAAACTGCAAACATCCTTTAGAGTTTTTTACTGTTGATTTTGCAGTACTAAGCTACGGAAATTACTGCAAAGGCTAACAATGCAGGTGAATAACCAAGACCTGCTCTAGATTTAAAATCAGCAGGAGTGTTAAACCTTGGATTAACATCAGTTTTGGTTGAACATTCCCAGAGATAAGTAGTAGCAGAGGAATGAATCACTTCAGTTTAAAAGATTTTGTAGAAATTTTCATTTTTTATTATTTTAAATCTATTATAAAATCACTGGGTCTGTTTAAGGAAAAGTAAAAAATCCACAAAGTAGAAGAATATGGGCACAGCTAAAGACTTAATCCCATGAGTCCCATTGGATGTGCATGATCCATGGCATGCAATAGAATTAAATATCACTGCCCATAATTCATAGATCCGGTGCGGGCTTTCATTAGAGTTAAAGTCAGTAATGTTGGAAAATCCAATCCAGGTTTTGAATCCTCCTCTTCTATATGACAATAGTGCAAGTAAACAGGAAATTACCCAGGGAAGATTGCATAAAAATATAATTCAGTGTTTTTCAATTTTAAATACTAAGGCAGAACATATCAGAAGTGGTGTAAGAAGCAGAAAAAAAGCACTTTTCTTTATTGTGCAAGGTTTGGGCCCATCAAGCAAGCTGTTAGTCCAAGAAAACCAAAAACCACTCAGCAAAAATGAAGAGGAGTTGTCCTTCTGGGAGTGAAAAAAGAAGAGAAGGAAAAAGCAAGACGGTGGTAAATGAAGCTGATAATAATAATTAAATGATTAAAAGCATAGAACTTAGCCCTTACACTATTAACACCTAATAAAGAAAGAGTCTGCTTGATCTGAGCATTGTTTCTAAAATAAACATGGTCTGTCTAATGGAAACATTTGGAGGTAACAATACTTTTGTACAATACTTTCTGTAGTTTTATGGTTGGGCATTGCACAGCAACAAGCACTTTACTGCATGTCATACTGTGTATGATGGTGTATGTGACAAATAAAATCTGAATTTGAAATTGACCTAGGTTATGTTTGCATTATACATCTTTTTTTTCTTTTTTTTTACTGTTGTCAGATTATTTAAACATTATGTTGAAGATTGGTCTAATGCCCCTTCCCTGTAAATGTTTTGTAAAGAGCTCCAACAGACTGTTGCCACCATTACGACATTATTCAATTATTGATTAATTACATGTGGATGTGTACTTAAGAGCAAATTCTCACCTTCATCCATAACGTAAAAAACAGGCATATATTTAGGAAGCAATTCCTAATCCTGTTAAAATTTCACATGCCTCTGACTGATTAGAGTGACACGGGGAGAAAAGGGGAAAAAAGACAGCCACGGACCCGACAGCTGGTTCCTACTCTTTAAACTTGCAAAGCTGAAAAATTCATGTGGGTTGTCTCCACCATGTATGTCAAGATTTACTGATGCATTACATGCATTTACAATTGCAGATACCGGCTTCCCTGTAAAATCTTTCCACACAGTGACTGAGATGTTTGCTTGAGACAGCCAGGTATCTCTACAAATAATTTACAAACTGCCCTGTGAGGAGTCTCTGAGCCAACTAGGAGCCGGACAATATTATAATACTTCCCTCCTCATCCTCTTCAGCATTCTCCTCCCAAAATTGAGTCATGTTGGAAAATGCAATACTGGAATCCCGTAATGCATTAAAAAGGTCAATACATTTTATTGGGATTTGGGACGTCAATAAAAAGTCTGATACCATATCCCAAGACTAAGTGCAAACTAAAATCCATATTTATTTATTTTCAGAATAATCATGGGATGTCTCATTTACTGAAGTAATAACATGGGGTGTTGTGTTTACTTCGTACTATTTGGTGGAGTGCAACCTGTTGTGTTGTGGTACTGTAACCTTTGATGTTGACTGAGTTGCAAAACTCTGCTCTGTACAAACATGAGTATCCAAATATGGGACTTTTTTATGTTTAGCAATGATGATGTTGGATATTACACAAGTGCAATAACATCTTTGTAACTCACATTTTCTTTGGTTGTTTGTGAGCATGACTTTTATAAAAACAAAAAATGATAATGCTGTCATGCAAAAAAAAGTTTGACACAATTAGTAATGAATTCAGAATGTTTTTGTATGGAAAAGTAGGGAGGCATAGTTTCTCTCTCTATATAGGATAGGGCTCAGAAGATTTCCTGTTATGCGTGTTGCTTGCTCAACAGTATTTTCAGATGTTCGGTTGGCTGGCTATGGTGCTATAACATGCAGCACAAATTATATTGTTTAAATTGTTATACAGCAGTCCTGTAAGGGGTGCAATGCACATCACTAACAACTCAGTGGTGCTTTCAATAAAGAAAGAAGCTCAATGAATGACAGTTTTGGTTTTAGGATTATTCATATATTTCCAAAAGCTGTTTTGGTGGGGTTACTCTCCAAATGTTTGACTGCAATTCTTGGATTTTTTTTTTCATTAACATAGAATTCCGAATTCCAAGCATTATCAGAAGATGCTAAAATAATAAGTCATTCTCCTGTTGCATGAACCATTTTCAGCCAAGCTTTGAGTTCATAGTTAACTCAATGTCTGAAAGGTACCAAGGTCCTGTTGTTGCAAAACAAGCCTAAACATTGTCCCTCCATCACTGTGCTTGAGTTATGCTGACATGCTGTGTTTGGTTTTCACCAAAACATGGTGCTGTGGATTATGGCCAAACATCTTTACTTTGTTCTTATCTGTCAAAGCGACTTTCTTCCAGACATCTTGTGGTTTGTTCAGAAAAAACCTTGAATTATAATAATTCATAATTTATTTTAAAAAAATGTCACCAGTCAGTGATATATAGTAAACCTAACATCCCAATAAAAATCCTCTTATGATTAAAAAACTCATCAAGTGAATCCAGGTTTGTTGGTGCAATCAGCAATAGATTTCATCATCAAGATGCAATGTATTGTGCATGCAGTGACCACATCACTATGTACACCTGTTCAAATCCAGGAGATAAGAATCTATAGCCAAGTGACTGGAGAGAGAGTACAGTGAGTACATATGCAAGTTGTGCAACAAAGAAATACTTTGTTTGTTACTTAAATACAAAAGCTCGCCCGAAGTTTTTGACTGAAACATAATTTATTTTTCATCCTTCCACTCATTTTACAATTAAACACAAAACACTATGAACAGAAACATCCCCAGTGGTATTTATTAATGGAAATAAAAGCTCACAGCTCATTTTATTTGATAAAGTCTGAACTTGGAGCCCTTGAAAGCATTATAGTAGGCAAACATCCCATGCCATTGTTCTAATTTGCCCATTTTTGTGGGCAAATTAAAAGCAGAGATACTTCCATAACAGCAGAAACACAAAGCAACGATTTTCTGATGGATGAGTTCCTTTGTGGCATTGCACTCTAATCAATTGTATGCAGCAATTAAACTGTCATTCAACCTAATAGCAATAAGACTTAAACACATGCAACGTCGAAAAGTCATAGTTAGTTAGTTCTACAGGTAAGGGAGAAATGGCATTAACTTATTATTACACTAATTATACAATCATGTGCGTCATACTAGGGATCCTCCGTATATACATGTTACATAACGTCCCTTTTCAAGGGAATGACAGATGAGCCAGATGCAGATTTAAGTGAAATTTTCTTTTTCTCATTTTTCTCATTTAGAGTATCATTAAAACTACAAAAAATGGCGAAATTGCCCAGCCTCTGCCAGTGATATGAAAAGAGTTAGCAGATCTGTAGTGGAGAGCAAACTAATAAAATAACCTACACTCAAATTAGTAATATACCCGTAACAACGTCACGTGACCACCAGGCTGCTCCACCTAAAGTTGGGACAGAAGCTCCGAGCTGAAAATGACTCCCACCTCCTGTAGACGAGCGCCATCTGTTGGAAGCAGGTAATAAAACATAATTATTTTTTGTAATTTCTTAGAGTATAATATAACAAGCTTAATTATGTATAAAAAACAAAAAAATAATGATAATAGTTCTATAAATAAAAAAGGAGTATTTGGACAAATAGGGGAAGGTCGGGGGAAGTTAGGTAAAGAATGTCATGTTAAGCACATTTTACATCCCAAAATGTGCAACCACAAACTGCAGCTGTATACATCTTTATTTCTAGATTAAGATGAATTTTAATGACAGTTACTGTGCGGTAATTTGCGAAAATTTGGAGCACCTTGTACACTCAAAAATGTAAAACCTGGATCTCAGACTGCTTATGAGGCCCTCTTTTGTCCTTTCCTCCACCGCAATGTAGTTTTAATACTATCACTATTAAATTATATTCTGCAAATAGATGAATACACTTCTAAGTCAACAAATATGGATTTGCAGGACAGGTGGCCTCACAGCTAATTGTCTGTGAACCATATTAACTCCATGCCGGTACATCATATAAATAAATGGGCTAGGTATACATGTTTCCTTTTTAATACACAGATACCAGTGTACCTGGAAATACTACAGAATTCATTAATCGTATGTAGCATTATGTACCAAACACATGTTACCACGGCACCTGAATGCATCACGTGGCAGGGGTAATGGGCGGGGCCTCTGAAATGAACTTACCTACTGTAACACTTCAGTAAAGGTACGAATAGGGCCGCCATTTAAACGTTACGAACGGGAGCGGACAGAAGGTAAATATCAACTTCCTACTGAACTAAACACCTACATAAAATATGTGTAGATATCCAAGTATTTTGGCTGCTTACCTACAGTATTGTTGTAGCTATTTGACGTTGTCTAAAGACGGTTGTTGTCTTTCAACAACAACTGGGTTGGGCTCAGTCCTGTACATAGGACAACAGCCCAAATTCTACTCAAAATATTCATATACGCTAAGGTCTCTTAATTTCAGACATACATACACAGCTGGTACAAAGTAGCAGATAACCTTTAGATACACTGCTTTAATTCGGCATCAGTCTGTCAACAAGAAAAGGCGCCTAAAACAAGTAAAACTTTTAACCACTGTAACCAGTCTGCTTATTCTGATGAGCTTTAACACAGCTGAGAAAAACTGCAGCGGTAAATATTTTTTGGCAAGTTGGTGCATGATGAATCTCTGCAATGCTGTACAAAACTCTGAGTGCTTTTTTAGGTCATGCTTTACCATTTGCTGAAAGAAAACACACAATAAAGCGCCAACTGTTTGAATAAAGAACCGAAACGGCTGCATTGCATAATTTAAATGGAGCAAAGCTGCGGATTAGAGAGCTGAAATCTCTGTGAACTAGGTTATGGAAAAGTTGGACCACTTATTTCTTCCTAAAACAAACTTTAAAGCTTGTTCAGGAGAAGATGTACTTCTGCTAGACACCACAAGGTGGTAGGATTATATTTACAATGCATGAAGGATGCTGCAGCCTGCAGCTTGTGTATGTGTGTTTGACCATTGACGTTTTGTTTATCCCTTGCTGTATTTGATCATAATATCATAGGTCTGGCATAAATCTGCAGGCTCTCTTTCCAAGAAGAAATACAGAGAAACATAATGTATGCATATAGATACTAATAGGCAATCGTTTTCTGACCATTAGTATGTTGAATGTAAAGTGATTTTGATTGTCTGTCTAAAATTTACAATCAACTCTGATATATTATGAAATCCTGTTATATATTATACCAATTTCCAGACACCAAAAAATAACTAAAGATATAGATAATAGTCGTCCATCAATTTACAGTTCAAGATCTCCTGCATGCCATTGTGGGTTGGGAAGATATCAGTACTCAAGACAGAGTGAGGAAATTAAACATGCACTAATTGCAGTGAGTTAAAGCTATAGAATTAGGCTGGAAAAATATTTTCTTTGGAGGATTTATAAGTGTACGCTGAGTTTAAGTTTTGTGTGATGCACACCTATTTGGGAATAAGAGCCAAGGACTCAGTTAACATGATACACGTGAAATAGTACAACACAAAACAATATGCTTGATTATTCTCCCCACATGTTATGCTGTAGACTACATTAGCTGTAAACTCATGCAATTAAAATTGTTTCGCTTTAATAATGTCAGTGTAATTATTGCAGTATGACTATTACAGTATAAAACAAACAAAATGTCTAGGACTCCTGTACATGTTACACCATAACAAAACATAAAACAACTATTAACACTAATATGGACTATGGACATCAAATAGGCAATGATCTATCAATCAATTCAATCTATTTATTTTAAAGGACATTTAAAAACAACACAGGTTGACCAAAGTGCTGACTAACTTACCGAGTAACAAGACCATTCAGTACTGTCTGAAAAGCTAACAAACTGAGGCTATATGAGAACTGGCTTCACCTGAGCTGAGTTCGGCACACGGGCTTGTGTTCGCAGATCAGTGAGGGCATACAGCTAGAGAGCAAACCTCACTTGCACTGCTCAAAGCTAAGCTGTCACATAGCAGGGTACTAATGGGAGTTTTACAGAGTTTAGGATTTTCATGGGTGTTAGTTAAACAGCTAAATCTGTGAGTCCAGTGATGTTACATTATGATTGCAATTTGTAATTTTTAATCTAATATTTAGTCGTTCCGTATTTCATACACACTCATTTCCCCTAAGAAATACTAAAAAACCTCAGATGGTCAAAGGAAATTTCAGTCCATCTGTGAAGTTCCTCAACAATGGGAATTATGACAGCATGACACATCAAAGGCCTCAAATGAAACCGAGAAGGTTAATAAGGGTGAAAATGATTCAGTTTTTTTGTCTGGAGCAAACTATAATTAACTACCAGTGCACATGACCTACCATCAGCGCTGTGTCTGAGTAAACTGTCTGTTGGGAGAAGTTGGGTATTGCTAATATGGGGCATAGTGAGCTAAAGAGGCACTTGGAAATCAAACAAATCCTTTGGAGAGAATCTTGACATACTTTTAAAAAGTCTGAACCAGAGGCAGCAGGAGTATATGTTAGCTTGTGTGAAAGTGTTTGATAAGGTGACACTTGACTAATAATATGTCAGATGGCATAGAGGCTGTTGTTTGTTGATATAAATACAAGTGCGCCTTTAAATTCTGGCTATACACGATTGTGCAAAAGTCCTGACTTGTCGCTCATTTTTTTACAGTTTTCTTTTAAAGGAGCCAGACATTCTTGTAATATTGTGCAGCAGTTCTCCAGGATACAGTTCTCAAGTCTTTCAAAGTTTTCTTTGGACATTGGCTGCTTTTGTACCTCATTGTTTTCAGAAGAATGTTTTTTCTTTGTTAAGCCGCTGAACTCTGACCTATGAATAATTCAGACACCTAAATCAAAGGATGAACAGTGAGTCCGTATAAAAAGTCTCCCTCATCATTATGTAATTTCCAAAAACTTGGCATGTCTCAGCATGGTGTGCAATCCTTAAAAAATCTTGCAAAAACCTTGTGAAAACTGAACAAGTGCAGGACAAAAGAAGACATGACAGGTCTATAAAAGTATTTATAGTAGATAATCCGTATATGAGTCTTATATTCTTAAAACAGCAAACACCTGACACAGCGCATGAGATGTTGATCTGGACCTTGGATCGAGCCATACGGTCCACATTGTTTTACAATGTTAAACTGAAGCTCAATGAAATGGTGATACTAGATGCAAAAGCCGGGAGCTGAATAATAAAAAAATATCTGGTCAGCTAGAGAGAGAGAAAAAAAGTCTTGCACACAATCAGTAATTTACAAAAATCCAATTTTCCACCTTGCTTGTCACTGTATATTGCTTTTGTTTACAGGTCCTGGTTTAGCTGTAACTTGGCGGTATGAAACTAAATGAAATGGTTCAGAGCAAATAAGACAAGCTGTATATACAGTCATTTTATGCCACTATAAAATCTAACCACTGGGGCCCAATTCAGGAGCTGTGTGGCTTAAGAACTGCTGTCTTCAGGCATAAAACCCACATTATTGTCCTCAGTTAGATTTCTTTACTCTCAGCTCACTCTGGCGCTGAAGGGAACTTTGCTGTCTTTTTACCTCGGTCACTCTCTGTATGTCAATTACTCCACTGGGATCTCGTTACCGCCTCAGCCAATCACGCATCCCCCTTAATTAACTCAGGAAATTACATTCCTATATTTACAACTTAATAACTAGACTGGCCTGCTGAAAAGGTCACATCAACTGTTTAGAAATTTTTGCCCTATTACATTGCAGCCCAGGAGGATATGGCTAGGAAAAAAGCCAAATGAACAGAAGGCAGCTTTTTGAAAAGTGCACAACTTTTTTTGACCTCCGAGTGTCATACTCGGTTGATTTCACCTTGCAGTACAAGAATCCAACGGCCATTCAAAACTATTTGTCATCATGTTCAGGGGGTTGTTGAATTAATCACCGGAAAATAGGCTTATGTGAAGCCAGTAGGTGATCCAGAGCGTCAAATATCAAGAGAAAATAACATTTTCTCACATTTGAAGGTCTACTGCAGACAAAAATGTCCTCAGCTAATGTGCCAGGAGCAAAACTTCATTGAGCTGTTGTTAAGGGTTGTCTGCATGTCCTCAGTGATGGCAGCTGACTTGCTGAGCTTATTTTCTGCTTTTAAAGGAGACATGTCAAATCCATTTTCATTTTTTTAGAGTAATTATGTGTCACCAGTGTGTCTAGTGGCCCACACAATTTTAAGAAAATCCCCTCATTTATTTTCATTCTCAGTTGTGTGTGAACATTTGTAGCCTGTTGTGACAAACAAATCCACGTACACGAGCCCTCACCACATCATATTTTAAGGTAAACTCTGTTTTTAAGATTTTTTGCCACTCAGCCATAAAAGGTTGATAGGGTATTGTCATTGCCCTGCCAAGCAGGTGGGCGGTGTGGACACCCAAGTTTGTGAACTCGAGAATGAGGTGATGTAAGATTTTCAAATTGATACCACAAGTGCATCTACTAAAATTCTGGACAAGCTGAATGTCAGTGATCTGGATCACAAGGTCAGGTGTCCAGTTTTCTGAAAATCTTGAGAACAAGATAACTTGAGAACTGGGTAGCGTATATAAACGTAAATAAATATAAAATACAAATATAAAATCCAATCTGTAATGTAATGGAGCCCAAATGTTGCCTCACAAATTGGTAAAGGTTAGTGCCAGACAGAGATGTTGCTATAATATCGAGCATGCATTTGTCTCTTTCTTCAGTGTGAAGCCTGAATTTAACTGCATTTGGTACAGTGAATTATTTTGTACTGTAAGACAAAAAGCTAAACATCTACTTTTTCTGCACTTCTCTTAATTTCTCTTCTTATGTTTTATTGATCAGAGGGCGATGGGACTATCAAAGGGGCCATCATCATGGTCAGTGGAAGAAGTGCTGGAGTGGATTCAGGAACAGTATCCGACTAAGATGACCCTACTCCACAAAGCTGTAATCAAACATGACATAACAGGTACAACACATGCATGGAATTCCTGCTTCAGTGGCAGGAATTTTACAGGCTAAGTCATTATTAGCTTTCCTCGCATTATTTTTAATCTCTTTTTATATACTGGAACAAATCACTGGGATCCTGTTTAAATCTGCAGGCCGTGTGTTGCTGAGACTAAAGGACTATCAGCTGAAGCTTCTTGGGGTGGAAGATGAGAAGCAGCAGCAGGAAATTTTGCAGGAGCTCCTTCTTCTCAAAGTTCAGGAAGAAATCAGTGAACTTAGTGACATCTGCTCTGGTGAGCCTGCCAAATGACTTCATCTTCAGTTCACGGCTGAACTATTTATGTAATAAAAAAGTCATAAAGTTGCTTTGATAAGGGCATATTTGTTGGAATGCAACAATTATGCATAGAAACAATGGTGCAGGTTTTCATTTTAATTAAAACGAAGTCATAAATTTAAGTTTTTTCAAAGAAAAAAAATTAAGAGTATTACCATTTTAATTCCTGAAAATAGTTCCTAATTTTTGTTTTATTTGCTTTCTTATATACTCTCCAGAGTTTCTTTCTCCATGAATCACAGTGAAAATCTTCAGAAAGCCAAAGAAAAAAACAGAACCATGGCTGACTTTTTGTTATTTTTCTGAATTTCCCAACCATCCATTCATCCACGTGAAGGAGACAGAAAGGTGGAATTGATGGAAATAACAAGAAGTGAATAGAAAGAAGGATCGATGAGGAATGAAGAGAGAAGGAAACCCATTTCCGGTGTGAAATCTGACCTGTGCAGATGGATGAGATTAGTTTCTGTCTGAGTGGCTTTTTCTGATCCTACTGTCCATTAATCTCTGTGTTTTTTCTGTCTCTGCACTGGGTTTGTCAACCATGGCATTATAAAAGATACGAACAAAAGTTTTTATGGACCAAATATGCAGTCGCACTATGTGTAGAGGTTTAGGATATAGGCCAATCAGCAGATCATTTAAAGCCAAAATGAAATAATCTGCTCACCGATTTTCCCAGGGGATGCATTCTGCTGAGTTTGTTGGTTTAAATTTGTGTTTGTGACTGCAGTTTTTCAGGAAATTTAAATGGATTTATGAGAGATTTTTTTACTTACCTTCTTGACCCCATGACAAATATCAAATCCTACACACATTTTCATCCTACTAGTATTGTAATAGGTAGCTTGCTCTCAAAATAGGAACAGATTGTATTTTAACAACTGCTTATCCTCAGTATTTCCAGGGTGGAAAGGTTAAACATTTCACATGTCTGATCAGAAGAGCTGAGTCAAAGCTGTAAAACTTTGTCATGTTGTTTGCTTTTCTCTCTGACTAAAATTGCTTTTCACAAACAAACCAGATGTTGGTGTGCTGCTGT